TAATTTAATATATTTATGTCACAGTTATCTAATTAATTAGTCACAGATTAATTTTTAGTCACAACTTATCAAATTATTGGTCGTAACTTATTTCTCGATAACAGATCGAAAATTTTATAGGTCACAGAATATTTTTCATTCACGAATTTTTGCTCACAATTATCTAATTAATTAGTCACAAATTAATTTTTAGTCACATGTTATCAAATTATTGGTCGTAACTTATTAACTCGATCACAGATCGAAAATTTTATAGGTTACAGAATATTTTTCGGCCACGAATTCAAAAATTTTACAGGTCACAGATTATTAATCGGTCACATATTCAAGATTTTTATTGGTTACAATTCATTTACTCATTACAAATTATTGTATTAATTGGTTACGATTAATTTTTCGATCACAATTTAATCAATTGTGAGTCACAATTAAGAGTCACAGTCATAATTTTCAGGTCAAATATACAATTGCGAGTCACAATTTTCAGCTCCACCATCATGTCGACCATCTCAAGACAAACTAACACCCACTATCAAAAACCATAGCAGGAACCACCACCACGGCACCACCAAAAACTAAACTAGCTCACAACCACAACCACTATGGCACAACCAACACCACCATGAGAACTACCGTAATTGCCAGATAGACCACAACTAACAGTGCCACCACCACCCAAATCCACTGCATAACCACACTACCGCAAAACACCACCACATCACAAAAACCACTAGCTGCAGGAACCTAGTGAACTCTCGCTATCATCATAAACGCCACCAAAGGTATAGGAATGTGTAAATCGCTCGTCGCTCTACCTGCACAGCATTGGATCTCTCAGTGCCGTTTCACCTCTCGGAAGTTGCAAACAACTCCAGTGCAGCGGCGTTAAGAGGCTCTGCTCTTAGAGTTAGCACCGCCATCGAAATCTATATACCTTGCACAGATTAAGGAGAAAAAGAGGGAGAGGGGATGAGTGATCTTTGACGGCCGCACTTTTTGGTAGAGAGAGAGAGAGGGAGAGTCGAGGGAATTGAGAGAGAGAGAGAGAGAGAGAGAGAGAGAGAGATGAAATTAGGGTTTGAAATTCTTAATTAATTTTTAAATATATAAATTAATTAAAAAAAATTTGATTTGTGAAATACTAAACATGACATCTTATTTATGAAATGGGGATTTTTAATCTATTAGAATATGTAATTTCCACTTTTTTTTTTTAACGTTAAAAATTAGTTAATTGAAAACTTTTTAGATTGTTTGCAAGGTGGACATTTTTGGTCTGTTGATAAAATTTGATTTCAGTTGAAACTAGTTCCATTCTAAGTATTAAAAATCGAGAGTCGAACGATTCTGATGAATCGATTCTAGCCCTTGTTTGAACCTCATCTTAAGTGAAAGAATGCATTTTTAAATAGTGTTTGATGGAGAATGTGTGGGTAAAAATTAAGGAAAAATTTTAATTTTGCGTGTAATATTATTTTATTGAAGAATGTGTGGTTGAAAATTAATTTTGGAAAACGGGGCTCAAACAATGGCCTAGTTATAGAATCAAATTTTGATTCAGTTCCAAAAATATTGTTTTTACAATCTCTCGATAAAATGATAAATTATATAAATTCGAATAATGGAGAGATTTATTATTTAAAATTTAAGTGTCAAAGTGAAGTAAGAAAATTAAGACGACAATTAACACTTTTTTTGTCGATAAATGTAGGATTTAAAATATCAAAACTCATTTACAAATACACTGATCATACTCGAGCAATCCAAGATCTAGTAAAGAATATATGTACACCGGACATACCTGATCGGTAAACAAAAATGATGTACAAACGATGATCTAATGACCCATAGCTAAAGATTCAAATTTAACACTTAATTTTATTTTTGAAGCATGAGGAAGATGGGAACCAATGGTCAATAAGAAAGTAGGAAACAGGATCACATCAGAAACACTCTCATTTGATTCAATGCCTATTTTTCTTGTAGAACCAATGGTTCCACATTCACAATTCTCAATGGATATTGATTTAGTTTGACTTTCAAGATACATGTATCAAACCATCTAATGCTCACCTCTTGTTAGCAGAATAAACATTATTTATTTTAACTTTATCCGATGAAAAAGTATTTATTTTAACACCTTCTTGAATGAGGTTAAGCTTAACTAAGCACTTGCTAATTTAGTGAGATAAGTGAAATTATCCACACAAGACTCTTGGAAATTAACCTTTTAGACTCTTACGGTTGTTCTATGATCAACGCTTGAGAATGCACTTCTTCTTGACGTGCCGCATGCTCTTCTTGATCAGGATCGAGATGGGCAACTTCTTTAATTTGCTACCCATGGCTGGGTCTCTTGAGCCGCACTTGGGAACGAGGAAGCTACTTGAAGCTTTAGAGACCTCTCTCTCTCTCGGTATTAACAACTACAAAAACATTCACCAAAGCCAGATATGGTGCTAGATGAAAATTCAAAAGAACAGGAGTGATATTATCTCATGTCTTGTTGGAAGCTGCAGTGTGGGGATTCGATTCCCGAGACACGTAATTGAACTTCATGTAGGCACAGTGTACACCCAACTCTTGTTTTCTGACCTGTTGAGACACATCCTGCGATTTACCTCTCTCACAAAGCTCTAGAGACAAGACGGTCGTAGCCCTCAAGGTTGAGGTTTTCAACCTTTTTTTTTTTAATTCAAAAAAGGGTTTTGAAAGGGACATTAAAAATTTGAGTCGTTGAACCACAGGGAGAAGGGACCCACCTAGCCATTGAATGATTTCATTTTCAATAAGAGGAGATGAAGATAGACACAATAAAGTCACTATCAAGTAACTATCTAATCATGTAGATTATCTTTACTGATATGACCTTTAATCTTAAGACGTCCATTGACTAAGACGATGAAGCCAACCAATTAATGTTCCTTATCATCTCTTGATGCAATATGATAAGAACACATTGAGAAAGAGGACAAATTATATATTATAAGGGTATTTTGCTTCACCCCAAAACAAACTAGAGATCCCCATTCTTGGAGGACACAGATCTTCGAATGAAGTTGGAGGTCGACAAATGATAATTTCATGAACTAAAAAAAAAAAAAAAAAAAAATCTAAAACCAACAAGCCGACTTGACTCACCCCTTGGAGTCAAGTTGGGAGCCCAAGTTTCTTCGAGCGAGCTGGTTTGCCCTCGACTCATCCCACTTAACACCTCTATCTTAATTTAGCAAATTCAATTCCTCCGACATTTCCATCAACTTCTTTTATTTATTTATTTATTTTATGTACTTTAGACGGCCAGAATCGCATTTCTTCAATCAATGAAAGCACATATAAGTGCATTGCTTTATGTGGTTTGAGTCCGTCAACTGGCGCATTAAGGCAAAGAGAACTATGTCCTGGCACCATCGAGATCTCAATGTCGTGACTAAGGCTTGTGGAGCTTGAAGCCAAACACTCTCGGTGTGTAGCTTTGTGTTGGCTTTTGTGGCTTGAGGTTTCCATAAGTCATCAAGAAGAGGTGAGGAAAAGTGGTTCCAAAATAAGCACTGTCGATATCTTTGGCTGTTAAAGAGATCTAACAGAAATTACGTAAAATTTAAAGCAAAATGATATCATGCCTAGGAGTGCGCTACTTTAACCATCATCTTTAATATAGGATAAATGACCAAAAAGAAAGATAATTATACAAAAACAAAATAAAAATCTAAAAATCCCACACCTAATCCTTCAAACTGAATTCAGGCATTTACCAAAAAACCATTTAACGTGGAAGCCTCCAGCGCCAGCGCGGAGCACAGAGTCCTACAACGCCACCCAAAAGAACCCCTTCTCAGGTTCTTGAACTTGTCCACCTTCTCTTATCTGTGGATATGGACTTTGGTTAACATGAATGTAGTGGAAATGAAAATACAATGGATGTGTTGTCAAACTAGATGGATAAGATAAGAAATGAGATTATGCAACTACTTAAAGAGGCTCTGTTCATAAAAGTAATATGGTTCCATCAAAAGTAGTTAAAAGTGGAAGGGATAAGGCCTGTTGTAATTGCTAAGGTTAGTTGCTTTAAATCTCACGTTGATCTTGAAATGAATAGAGCGGAATTGGAAAACAATGTCATTTAGACGACCTCGAATTTTGAGGGAAATAAGGCTTAGTATGTTGTCGTCGTTGTTGATGATGCAAGCACGTGTGAGATGTGCACAAACACAATCTAAATTGGAAGGATAAAAGCCTAAAAAAAAGCTAGTAACTGAAGGATACTGCCTTGGTACTTGGATCGTGGGTAGTATATATCTTCACATTTGGGACAGTATATCTTTACAGCACTTAAACGTGGAATATCTGATTGTCCAACTGGAAGGCAAGGCTGTCCACAGCAATAAACTCTCGGGCATCTTCCAAAGTCATAGTTTTTGTACTTCTCTAGCTGTGAAATTCCATCTCAACAAACTACATAAGACGGCAGTGAATGAAGAGAGAGACCAGATATGAAAATAATCTTCGAAAAATTACCATGGCAGCCATTCCCTTGGTTGTCAAAATGTATCGGACATGAATAAGACCATACAGCATCTCTGCTGCGGATTCAACCAAGTCATTCTGTTCCTCAGTTAAAGTATCACCTATTCAAGGCCATAAAAGAAGAAAAATATTATCAAACAAAGAACAGCCAATGATCATTGAGTAAATCATATTGAGAGGGTTACGTGAGATTGTAATAGGACAAAATCTATCCAAGGTGTCAAAACAAATTACTCACAAGACAGTTGCCTCGTGTAAGCAAGATCGACGCCTATAAATATGATCTTGCATCATTAGTTTTGCATTAACAGATCTCTATTCTTCAAAATTGTATTAGAATTACAGAAAAAAGAAGTATAGAATGCGAAAACTGACTCAAGTTGTTTGACTACAGAACATGAAATTTCATTCCTTCTTTATCTATCATATTTATTTCTAAAAAAAGCTGAATATTATTCTAGCATAATTAGCACTTAGAGAAAGTATTAAAACAACTAATACAGGGTGGTAATTGCTCATATGAAGCTTAATGCTCCCGTAGCTCCCATAACTAAGCCAAAAATGTCTTTTGACAATGTCATAGTTATCTAACACAGATAAGCAACTGGAAATCTAGAGGCATAGAGGTGTTTATACCATTGTTAAGATAATGGCAAGGATGAAACCAGCTAAACATTATAGTCAACTAAAGACTAGAGAGGAGATTGTCTGCTGAAAAGAACTGATACTTTCAAAAAACAGAGATTGCAAGCAAGATTCAACTTTGATAGTCAGCATGCCAAAAGAAAATCACTGGAGAAATATTTGATAGCATTGCATGAGAGGCTTGCAGCATAGCTATATTTGATGAGTCTCCAGATTACTTGAGTCTTCTCTAGATGAGAATTCAATTTTATCCAGGCACATATCCTAATTTCCTCTGCAAAAATTGATGGTTCCTATAGTTCATTTAAAGAAACCAAAGTAATGCCTGGTTATTGAGGCATCCTGGAAATGATATTCAAGTCAGATCATAATGACCAAGTTCTTTCAAATGTTTAAAGCATATAGCCTAAATTTGAGGCAGATTAGATAACCATATGTGAACCATGAATGCAATTTGCATGCATAAATTCAAGCAATGTAATGAGTAATATATATTAGAAAATAGTAACCTTCATTTTGAAACAAAAATTAATCGTCTCCTAAAGATGAATCTAAATTAAGTCTGGCTCAAGTGGGCTACACAACTTTTACATACTCTTAAGATGCCACATAAAAATAAAAGCTAAAAGATACTCTTTTTTGGGTAAGGTGATATATATAGTGCTTAAAGGGGGATATTAGATTCTTTAATTGGTATTGATCAATTCTTTTGTTTGACTGACCTAAAGACCCATTACCTATTAGTGCTTTCCTTCCCTCAACGGCCAAACAGACCATAAAGAACAGAGCATATTGGAAAAACAAATCTACACAAAAGGACAAGCTTTTTAACATCAAAACCCTTCATTTTATGTAAAAGAAGGCATGTCCAATCCAATGCAAGTATACCCCCAACCCATTACTTCTACTCCTCTTCTGTCTTCACAATCAGCCAACCTCTTTCTCAAGTGTTATGTAATTAAATTAGTCTTCAACTTCTTATTCTCTCTTTGGTTCCACCACAACTATTTAAACCAGAAAAAATGTACTTTTCAACTTTTATCTACATCCAAACACCTCAAGACAACCTCCAACTAAGTACATACTTATAATAAGAAAAGGATCCATGTTAATATAGAGATTTGCCAGTAACTGAGTCAGTTAGTTTCCTAGAAAAAAGTTAAATATTCACATTCTTAGCTAAAAAATTTAAGCTATACAACAAACCATGACCCCTATGATTTATTAAGTGCAGTCGTAAAAGAATTGACTCTTTCCTTCTTAATTTAAAAAATAAATAAATAAATTGAAGGACAGAAACTGATACTTGATGTTGCTAACGAAAGAACGTCAGTTTAACCAAATATCAAAACATAATCATAATTCTAAAAGCACAATCTACTCAACAATTTTTTAAGCATGCAAACAAAAGATAACCATACAAACTTGAACGCTTACCAAGAGAGGTGTTGACATCCAAAATCAAATCAAGTGCATAATCATAATATGGAACTTGACTGCTCAACCCACAAAGGTTAAAATCATCTTGGATATATTCATCGTCAACTTCACAAAAAAACTCGTTCCCTCGCAAGTTGCAAAACCATGAAATCCAGAATGTATCATCCCCATCAGAACCACTAACATCAGACTCCCCACTGTCAGTTTCGGATTCATCTGCAAAAAGAGCAAACATAAGCATTACAATCATACATAGAGTCATTCACACAAAAAAGAGAGAAAAACGTATACCCGTTAGACAATTACACCTATACAGATATCAATATAGATAAGTGTATACATATTGCACAACATCCACGTACAAAAAGATATGTGCATGTATATCCCAGACTTTTCTTTCCCATAACAGCTGGTAGCAAGCAATTTTTGATGTTTTGAAACATAATAAATACAGCAAGAAAGTGAAGAAACTAAAAATCATGAAAACAATCTGAATTGAAACTCTTCATATCATATTCCTCAAAATCTATTCCTACTTATTTTTCCATAATCCCAATTCTTTTTTTCATAGAAATTTAAAAAGACTCCCAATCAAAATCAAGAAGCAAAGAAACTTGCAGGAAGATTACTACACCACCCCTTGTTATAAACCATTCCATATCTTTGATCCTAAAAGCACATAAACTATGCATCTTTTAGTTCAGACTCTAAAGAATTTAGAGCGAGATGTTCCTCTCACTTACACAATCCAGTACAATTTATGCATGTATAGGCACCTCATCTAGATTTGAAAACTCTGACGAACTTCACACAATAATACGCAAATTTTACTCAAACTCAAGAGGTTCGAAAATGGACATTTTCTAAAATTTATTCAAAAGAATATTCAAATAAAGAATAATATCCACTGCCCATTCACGAAAAAAAAAAAAAAA